CTCCCTTTGGATATATGCCCAGGAGTGGGATTATTGCATCATATAGTAAGTGTATTTTTAGTTTTTTGAGGAATCTCCATACCATTTTCCATAATTGCTGTACCAAACTACATTCCCACCAACAGTGTACAAGGGTTCACTGTTTTCCACACCCTCTCCAGCATTTACCATTTGAATATTCATGTTTTAATTATTTTATTGCAGAAGCAACATGTAGGATAATGAAAAAGTGGCATCCTGGCGGCTGGGGGATGTGCCTGTGTGTGTGTCCCCGTGCATGTGTGTATGTTCCTGTATGTGTGTACATGTTCCTGTGTGTGCATGTGTGCCCTCCATGTGCCTGCATGGGGGTGGGGAGTGGGGCTGGAGCCTGTGTGTGTGACTGAGTGACATCTCAGGCACGTGGGCCTGGAGGGGTGTGAGAGGCCGTGATGCTGGGCTGCAAGGCTGTGACCTGACCAAGGCCACACAGCCCGTCTTGGGGCTCAGGGCCCCACCCTTGCTTCCAGGCCTGTCACCAATCAGCTGGGGTGTTCTCTGCCGTGACACAGGACTTGGAGTCCTGACCCTGAGGGCCCCACAACTTCGCTCAGGAGGGGTCTCTGGGGCAGGAGGAGGAGGCTGGGCTTGGCATGGGGAGGGGGAAGCAGGGAATCCAAGGAGGTGAGCACGGCTCTGGAGTTTGGGGGTGACCAGCAGCAGCGAGGTGAGGGGAGTAGGAAGGGCCTCCTCACCAGGACTGAGTTTGTCACCCCAGCCAGGGGAGTCGCTTTTCTGCACAAGGGCCAATTTAGAAAAATGTGGAAAACCAAGTTTCAGGCTCCATGGTAGGTAAGTACCATTCCAGACGGAAATAGCAGGATGTGACCCCATAAAAAGTGGTGAGCGCACGTGAGCCATCGCCCCGCCCAGAAAGGAATTCCCCCGAGAGCCAGAACTCATCCCACACCCACCCAGGGGCCTGGGAGTCCTGGAGCGATGGCCCTGCTGAGGTCCCACTACCCAGGAAGATGGGGAGAA